GGGGCCTGATTCTCCCAAACCAGCATATGGATAAGTCCCACTGACATCAATGAGAACTACTCATTTTCTGTGGCTGGAGAATAAAGCCCCAGCAAATACTGGAGTTGGAACTGTTGGAAGCATCATTAACTCCTGCTATGTGCTTTGAGAGTCCCACTCAGAGAGATCACAGAGTCCAGCTAATAGCACCAGGACTCCTGGTGTGGGCTCAAGAATAGAAAGGAAGGGGATCCTATACTGCTGTCCAGGACCCCTGAGTCTGGGAGAAAAGATACCTTTTGATACCTGAATTCTGCTTTATTTCTGGTATGGCCTCCTGGCTAGTGCATACCCTCCTGGTCCCATGTCCCTGATGGGAAATTATGTAGACACCACTGGAGTCAAAATTTTGATTTTTTTTTTTGGTTCCTCTCCAGGCATTTTTGCAAAGGAGGGACAAGTATAAGGCCTGATCCAATGTTCAGTCCTTCAAGTCACTGCAAAGACTTCCACTGATTTCAATGGATGTTGGAACAGGCCCATAGGCTCTTCAGATATCTCCTTTCTTCCCTGGGCACTTTCTTTCCCTTTAATGGTATCCATCCTGAGACACCTAGGAAATTATGAGGCAAAGAATTTCATTCCATTTATCTGTTCCTATCCCTTCCATTACTAAACTCTCCTTCCTGTCTCTTAGAAGGTCTATTGTCTCCTCCTCTGCACTCTTGATTCAATATGTATTTGAGGGGAAAAAACTCAATCTTGTTATTTATCTTAAGCTCGTGTGCATCCTTCCTCTCCTTCTCTACCTCCACTTTTCTTATCTATACCTTTTCACCCTCTCTGCCTCATCTTTCCTATCTGCCTCTGGACCTGAACTTGTATTACGGTGTTTTAGACCTTGCAAACACCTCTTTCTTAGCTTTGATTACATTTTGCATTTCCATATTCAAGAACATCAGCTCCTCTCTCTTGATTCCTATTGTATTTATATTTGTAGCCAAAAGGCAGCATAACACTTTGTCAGACAACAATTCATCCTAGTTGTTAGTACCTGTTAAAAAATATTAACCCCTTAAATCCTCTTTTTATTGCAGATTAAACTCTTTCACATGTTAACTATTCTTCCAGACTCTTTATGATATTAGAAAAGAGTGTGTTTGAATTCTAAGGCCAGAGTGTTGGTTCTTGACCTGTAAAAGACCTGGATTCAGGAACTTTATGTGATCAAGTATTGAGCTGTACTTCATTATGGTTGGTGCCTCCAAATCTGTGGGATTATACATGTCTAGGGACAGGACCCATCAAACTGTTAAAAAAGTATCTACAGAAGTAAGTTATAAACAAAACAGTGTGTCTGATAAGGGATTCATCTTATGGCAGATGTTTTCTGTAATGGACTGTGTGATTGATAAGGAATAATTGTTATTACAGATGGGTTCTGTAATGGATGAAACAATGACCTATTGAAAAATGTTTTTAACTCAGTAAAACTTCTGGTTGTAACAGCTGTCAGTAATAATGATCAGATTAGAATTCCATTTAGTTTATTGATCATCTAATCTAAAAATTCCATAAAAGAAATTCCATAAGTAATTAGGTAAAACAAAAATGTCAAAACAAGACACACAGTGAAATTAATTGCAGGAAAGCAATTTTCCCTTACAAAAAGGCGTTTCTCTGTCTCACGCTCCATAAAAGACAAGGGATTTGAAAGTTAGCTCGGCGAGTGCTAACTGCTTGAGTCTCATCATTTACAGAGGAGAGAGACACAGAGGCCAGGTTTTTACCGTATATCAAAGGGTCAGAATGTATCTATTATTTCTGTATTCTGTATAGTGCTCTACTAATCTCGGATAGTTAATCTTTGATTAACTAATTCCATTTGAATGTATTTAACAATCTCAAGTTATTAACTTCAAGCATGCAGCATTATGAACATTTCCCCACTGTGTCATTTCCCATTCACCTTGTTTGATTTCACTATGTGTTTTTTTCCCATGTGCTGCACTTGTTGCTGATCTCTCGAGTCCTAAATTGGACAGTAACTACAGCCTCTGTCTTCCATCTTCAGTCATGTCCTCTGCTTACTCAAAACTACCTGAAAAAATTGCCTTACATATTTTCCTCATTACATACATCACTCATAAATACAGTGGCACTTTCTTCTTCAAAAACACTGGACAAGTATTTATTCTAGTACTACCATCTCCATTTTACACATGGAGAAACAGAAGCAAGGAGGTTAAGTGACCTGCCCAATGCCACAGAGTAAATCAGTTGCAAAACTGGGATTTTAAATAAGGAATTCCTGATTTACTTTCAATCCCATAATTATTCCTCTAGATCAAAAAGTTTCTAAACCATTCTACACCATGCCCAACAGCCTGTGGCTTGAGTTGTTGTTTTTATATCATTGGTGCTACAGATATGGAAGCTGGAAAATAAATTACAGTAACCCCTCACTTAAAGTCGTCCCACTTAACGTTGTTTCATTGTTACGGTGCTGATCAATTAGGGAACACGCTCGTTTCAAGTTGCGCAATGCTCCCTTAGAACGTCGTTTGGCAGCCGCCTGCTTTGTCCACTGCTTGCAGGAAGAGCAGCCTGTTGGAGTGAGCTGGCGGGGGGGGGGGTGGGCTTGGAACCAGGGTCGACGGGCAGCCCCCCATCAGCTCCCCGCTCCCCTAAGTTCCCTCTGCGGCAGCCGCCCAGCAGGCTACCAATTGGTGGCAGTTCAGCTGTACCTCCCCCCACTGCCGTGTGTTGCTCCTGCCCCCTGCCTTGGGGCTGCTCCTGTGAGCCTCCTGCTTGCTGTGCGGGGGAAAAGGGGGGGAGGAGAGGGGGCTGTCAAGGTGTCCCCCTCCCCCTGCTCCTGCACCCGGCTTACCCCTTCTCCATAGAGCGGGGGGGGACACGACAAGGCTCAGGATGGAGAGAGCTTGCGGGCACAGCTGCTGTCTCACCTTCCTGATTTTTTTAAAGGCAATGCACTAGAATGGGGTCAGTGTACTTAAAGGGGCAATGCAAATCTCTCTCTCTCCCTCCCACACACAGGGTGTGTGTCTCTGTCTGCCATGCTGTCTCCCCTCCCTCCATTCATGCTGTCTTGTAGAATCTGAGGCTACATTAACAACAGTGTGTTAGCCCTTGAGGGCTCAGACGAATGCTAGTTCATTATTTAGTAGTAAGGCATTCCCTGGGAAATATCCCACCCTCTGACTCCACCACCTCAACCGAGCTTCACAATCTTCATTGCTGTGTACAGTATTAAATTGTTTGTTTAAAACTTATACTGTGTGTGTGTGTGTGTGTATATATATATATATATATAATGTAGTTTTTTATCTGGTGAAAAAAAATTTCCCTGGAACCAACCCCTCCTCCCCCATTTACATTAATTCTTATGGGAAAATTGGATTCATTTAACATCACATTTTTCAGGAACATAACTAAAACATTAACCGAGGAGTTACTGTATATTCAAAATGTATTAGTGAATCTCAGTTCACAATTAGGTAGGCTCCTAATGCTACAGTATTAGTTCAGTTTCTGTTTTCATTTCTTCTGTTTGTTATAGTGATTTCATTCTGTTGAGACATGAGCCTGAGCCATAAACTTAGGATCCAAATCTAGATCTTCCCTACAGGCAGATGGAAACTATCTAGTTCCAGGATTTTGGCTCAGACCCATTGTTTAATTCTGTTGCTGCATCAGATTATGCAGGTTAAACCATGTCCAGCTGGAACACAGACAAACCAAACAAAAAAACAAAAGCAAAAAATTCCAACCAAACCAACCAAAATGTGTCAAAGTTTTTGAAACTAAAAATAAATTAAAATATTTGGTTTGGGTATTGACCAAGTGTCTGGGGCAGAGGAAGAGCTTATTTTATCCAGCACAGTTTGCCCATCCTGACTAATTAATTAATTAATATTATTATTATTATATACATCACATTGTGCTAGGCACCCTATGAACACACAGTAAAATACTGTAAATTCTCCAGAGTAGGAACTCAATCTAAACTGTCAAAACAGAGAAAAGATGTGAAATAAGCAGTATTATTAGCCCCATTTTATGAACGGAGATCTAAGGCAGCCAGACAGACAGACAGTGACTTCTCCCAGGTCACCCAGAAATCTGTGCCAGATCAAGAACGAGTTCTAAATCTGATGAGTCAGAGTCAAGTGGCTTAACTATAAGGCCATTATTTATATTTGCAAGAAAGATATTTTTCCCCTGGTCAATGCAGAATGTATGAATGCACGGGGCCTAATTTTGCCCTTATTTATGCTAGCATGACTCAACTGATTTCAATGGGACAGTCAAAAAGTGTCCGTTTCTGTTCCTGGATTGGTTTATTATATCAATAATCGAATACAGGGGTTCTAAAATAGCTTCCATGCTGCTGAACACATCTTAAGAGAGAGAGAGAGGGTCTCAGACACCTCCCATCTCATTTACAATCCCATAACATCCCTGTAGCAACTACACCAATTGCTTACTTGAGCAGGTAAGATCGGGAAGTGTTTAACATCATTTTAGCTGTCAATGTGATTCAGGAGGAAACAGGAATAGAGCTCACCTCATGTGAGCAACCAGGTCTCTGGAGACCACCAGTGAGTGCTCTACAGACTACAGTCTATCAACCTCTATTCTAAGGGAAAAATTCTGTTCTCTAATCCACATCTCAGCTCTAATATTCCTGGTCTCCCACTGAACTCCCATTCGTGGTATTGAAAGCTCTGTGTATGTAGAGATAGAACAGGCTATTGGCATCATAGTCCATCATGAAAATCTGACAGCAGGATTTTGCCCTTAAGTACAAAATCTGAAACACGCTGGGGCGGGGGGAACGGAGAGATATCACAACAAGAAGCTTAGCCTGCAACTAACTAATCAAACTGTTCAAAGGCTGGGCATTTTCAGCCATTTTCCTTTATTTAGGCTCTCGAACATCCACCCAGATGCTTACAAACACACACAGTATGCTCAGTTTAATTTGAATTTGGACCTACAGGAAATGATGTTCCCATATCTATTCTTATTGCGGTTTTCATCTTCCTTGGCCGTATCCCAAGATGCCGTCTGCCCCTCGGGTAGAGCCTGAAAAATAAACAGTGGTAGAGTGTTTATAAAAAGAGTGGCCAATGCCTTCAGGTGGTTTAACATGACAAAGCTGGGCAAAAATAAAGGCGATGCATAATTCAGTACTCAACCAACCAAACAGCTGTTCTCAAGGAGGAAAAGGCAGATCGGATTATGTAAAAGGCACAGCTCTGCAGAGACCATTAGCACTCTTTGGTTTATGCTGGCTAAGAATCATTTTCCTTGTGCAAGTATGGACCTAAAAGGGGTGGGGAAGTGCATTGGCTTCTGGCGGCATATTTATAGGGAAAGCGATGTTCCCCTGCAGTGAGGATTTCACACACACATGCCCTTGAGAAAGACCAGATGGTTGAAATGCAGAACTCAGTCTTGTAGGATATTTAAATAGAAAGTATATAGGGTGGTTTCTCCTACTGCTGGATTAATAACAGTGTGATACCAGTCTTCAGTAACTACATCATACAAACCTTCTGGTGGTTTTCTTAAAGGAATTCCTGCAAGGCTTTACCACATCACCCACACAGAACGATATTATAGCCATTGCCTTTGTACTACACAGGGACTGAGCATCAGATGCTGCATAAAATGTACACACAGACACACAGCTAAAGGACATGGCCACAGTTATAAACCTGGGATTTGTTTCTTGGAGCGGGAGGTTCCACATCCCAGTGCTAGCATTTCAACCACCCTCTGACTTGGTCACATGACTCCCTTTAGATATGATCATATGGACCATTTTCCAAAATGAAGGTTCTTATGGAAATAGCCAGGAAAAAGGCACATCTCATGAGACATAGCCAGGGAGGCAGACTTTCCCCCCTTTGCAACAGGGCTTGAAGTGTCTGTAAATTGGGATGATCACTCAGGACATAGCCAGGGAAACTTCAGCATGGGCAGTTCAGAGAAGCAGAAGCAGCGTTCTCTTTTGGGCCACAGATGGCACTAACCTTCTGTTAGTGCCACTTGCACATAGCTTCTTGCCGCTGAGACAGAAAACCAAAATCGTGAATTCTCAACTGTAGCTCCATCCTGGCCGTGCTCAGTGTTGAGAATGTAAATGGCAGCTCCTACGTATCTTCCCCTGAGATTTTCTGTCACTTTGCCATTCCCAAGCACTACTTGTAAGCAAATGCAGTGTTCCAAGAGAATAATAGCAGTGTTACAAACTATTATTTAGGATTCTTAGGAAATAATGTTCTTTTAATTTAATCCTTGGAGACTTTATTTTGCCTTCACTAGCAGCAGGTGGTTTGCAATAGCCCAAATTTGAAAATGAACTCACATGCATCTTCACAAGCCATCCAGGTCTATTATTGCGTCTGATTTGGGCTGGAAGAGAGACATAATAACTAGGCTCGACAAACCTGACATTGCAATAAACCGTGATATGAACGACTCCCTGGCAGATCTTGAATTTCCTCTCACAGAGTTCCAGGACAGATGATGTCAGGCACATCTGTGAGTGCTGTTGAGAACAGGGAATGCAAGACCCAGTTTGAATGCCCAGGAGCAAGAGGTGATAACAGTAACTGGTGAGGGCTTTGATCACACTTCTATTTCCTTTTATGGACAGCTGCTACATAATAGCAGCTAATTTCCTGGGCAAAAAAATAAGCATAACTAAGAGGGTGTGGGAGGCTCATTTTCATCTTCAAAGAGAAGGGGGAAAGGTGCCTTATTTTTACATTAGGATCTAGTCACAGTAGATTGACCAGAGCATGGCAACAATCATTAGCAATCTAATCATAAGCTTTTGAGAAGAAAAAATATCCCACCTCATCATATTTATACCAAGGGATGCTGTCTTGTCCAACAAAAGGGGATGCAGTCAGATCCAATATATCCCATATCATTGGAAAGGGATTGATAATAAGAAAGAAAATTTTATATGAATTCATGGTACTCCCACATCTTGAATACTGTGTGCAGTTCTAGTTGCCCCATCTCAAAAAAGATATATTGGAATTGGAAAAGGTACAGAAAAGGGCAACACAAATGATTAGGGGTATGGAACAGCTTCCATATAAGGAGAGATTAATAAGATTGGGACTTTTCAGCTTGGAAAAGAGACAACTAAGGGAGGATATGATAGAGGTCTATAAAATCATGACGAGTGTGAAAAAAGTAAATAAGGAAGTGTTATTTACTTATTCATATCACACAAGGACTATGGGTCACCAAATGAAATTAATAGGCAGCAGGTTTAAAACAAACAGAAGGAAGTATTTCTTCATACAATGCATAGTCAACCTGTGGAACTCTTTGCTAGAAGATGTTGTGAAGGCCAAGACTATAACAGGGTTCAAAAAAGAATTGGATAAGTTCATGGAGGATAGGTCCACCAGTGGCCAGGATGGGCAAGGATGCAAAACCATGCTCTGAAGTGTCCCTAGCTTCTGTTTGCCAGAAGGTGGGAATGGGTGACGGGGGATGGATCACTTGATGATTACCTGTTCTGTTCATTCCCACTGAAGCACCGACAGTGGCCACTGTCGGAAGATAGGATACTGGGCTAGATGGACCATGGGTCTGACCCGTCATGACTGTTCTTATGTTAAAATAACCCAATCCTGCCATTGATTTGAGCATGAAACTTCCCATTGAAATTGATGAGGATTTCTACTGAAACAAACCACAGGACTGATACGACCTCAGAAGATTCAGGAGGAAGCTAATGATTGTTCTTCTCACTGAACACTGAGACATTTTACACTATACTAAGATATCAATCTCGGTTTGAATGGAAGGGGTATATTTCCAGCTTTCCTGGGGAACAGATTCCATGTTTGAGGGTACCATTTGTGCAAATGCTTTTCCATTAGCAAGATGAACTAATTGGAGTAACTGCATCACTAACCACCGGATTTGTGTTCAGCAATAAGGCAGGTAGAGGTGTGGACAGCTGAAATGGAAGCTGAAAAACACTGGGCACAAATTAAACTGCATCCACAAAAGGGAGACCACATCTGAAATTCTACCCTGGAAGTTTTCTTTATATAACAAGCATTTCTGCACCAAACTGAGATGGGACAGGATTTCTCTTACCGATGCAATATAAAAAACTTGTAACTAGTTTTCATTCTGCTAGTTTGAAAATCAAAATAATTTTATTATTATTTAAAGCAGGGTGGATAAAAGTCATGGTTTTAAAAAAAATCAAAACAATTGTTCAAATTTAAATCAGATGTTTTATTTATGTGTTGCTAGTTCTTTACTTTTTTCTCATTTTATGCTCAACAGTGAATATTCTGCACTTGTTTATTTAGTAAGCTCTTTTCTAGTCATTTGTAGAATTTCAGTGTTCAGAAGATCTGGACTTTAATTTTCTATGCTCTTTTTATACAGCAGTTTTTGTAAAATGTAAATAAGATCCCTACCAGAAGACAAACAGTATTTGTAATTTATTATATAATTTATAGATAACAAAAGGATTCTATTCCCTCAGATGTACCTGGAATTTGTAGCTGGAAGTAAGGAATGCAAACTGAGTGAGCGGCAAACAGAGGGGACACCAACAGAGGTAGTTTGCCTAAGAGTTTGCCTTGGCTCTTAGAAGGAAGACAATATGAACAGTGAGCGATCAGCTGTTGTGAGCTGCACAGGATGTGCCATGTTTGTTTTTCTCCCAGAGGATAGAAGCAACTTCGTCTGTATGAAGTGCAAGCCGGTCTCCATATCGGAAGAGAAGTTTAAGGGCTAGAGACCCAAGTATCAACCCTGCGCTGCATCAGAGAGAATTAAGACTTTCTGGATAGAAGTCAGTGTTTGGTACTGCAGGCACAGCATGCTGAAAAACCAGAGAGGGCAGTGCAGAACGGGGAAGAAAATTTGCGGCATGTGACCTCCAGAAGAAGAAAGAGGAGAACTCATGTACCCCAATGCAGATAGAGGTAAGAAACAGTTATCAGGCTCTCTGCACAAGTACTAGGGTGGAGAATGGTTTGGAAGAGTCATCTGAGGGAAGGGATAAGAAGGAGACCCCATCGACCAGAAGGCATGGGATGCATTGTCCTGGGGATGGGGGTTCCATGACCACCACTCCCAAGAGGAGCAGATGGGTAGTGGTGGTCGGGGACTCCCTCGTAAGGGGCACAGAGTCATCCATCTGCCATCCAGACCTGGAAACTCATGAAGTGTGCTGCTTGCCTGGAGCTAGAATTCAGGATGTGATGGAGTGTCTGCTGAGACTGATCAAGCCCTTGGACGGCTACCCCTTCCTACTTCTCTAGGTGGGCACCAGTGATACTTCATGTGAGTGCCAAGAATGACCTTGAGCGGGTCACTGCAGACTACTTGGCTCTGGGAAGAAGGATGAAGGAGTTTGAGGTGCAAGTCATGTTCTCATCCATCCTCCCTGTTGAAGGAAAAGGCCCAGGTAGGGACCATCAGATTGTGGAGGAAAATGCGTGGATGCGCAGGTGGTGTTGGAAAGAAGGCTTTGGATTCTTCGACCATGGGATGCTGCTCCGGGAAGAAGGATTGCTAGGAAGAGATGGGATCCACCTAACGAAGAGAGGGAAAAGCATCTTCGCAGTCAGGCTTGCTAACCTAGTGAGGAGGGCTTTAAACTAGGTTCTCCAGGGGATGGAGACCTAAGCCTGGAGGTAAGTGGGGAAGTGGGATACCAGGAGGAAACACAAAGAGAAGGGTGCAACAGGGGACGCCTCCTGATTTATACTGAGAAAGTAGGGCCATCGGCTAGTTATCTTAGGTGCCTGTACACAAATGCAAGAAGCCTGGGAAACAAGCAGGAAGAATTGGAAGTCCTGGCACAGTCAAGGAACTATGATGTGATTGGAATAACAGAGACTTGTTTGGGTAACTTACATGACTGGAGCACTGTCATGGATGGGTATAAACTGTTCAGGAAGCACAGGCGGGGGAGAAAAGGTGGAGGAGTTACACCATATGTAAGAGAGCAGTATGATTGCTCAGAGTTCCAGTATGAAACTGTAGAAAAGCCTGTTGAGTGTCTTTGGGTTAAGTTTAGAGGT